TGCTTGTGTTTTGCATCAAGCTAACGGGGGAACTACAATTTGCGGGGTCGGCCTTGTTTGTGTTTTGCATCAAGCTATTGGGGAACTACAATTTGCAGAGTCTTTTATTGTTTGTGTTTTTCATCAAGCTAATGGGGAACTAGCATTCGCAGGGTCTGGTTTTGCTTGTGTATTGCATGAAGGTATTGGAGCACTACAATTTGCAGGGTCGTGTTTCGCGTGTGAATAGTGCGAAATGCCAATTTCAAATCTTCTGTCTTCTGGCGTTGTTTTTGGGTGTCGCTGTCGACATCTAGGTCATCGTCGTCGTCGTCGTCCTCGTCCTCGTCCTCGTCGTTGCCGTCGTGGTAGTTGTTCTTGTTGTTGTTGTTGCTGTTGCTGGTGTTCTTGTTGTTGCTGTAGGGTTCGGTTTTCTTTGTGTTTTGCATGAAGCTTTTGGGGGGTTCGCATTTGCAGGGATCGGTGTTGCTTGTGTTTTGCATCAAGCTATTGGGGAACTACAATTCGCAGGGTCTTCTTCTGCTTGTGTTCTGCTTGAAGCTATTAGGGAACTAGAATTTGCGGTGTGTTCATCTGCTTGTCTTTTGCATGAAGCCACTAGGGAAGTACAATTTGCGGTGTGTTCTTGTGCTTGTGTTTTGCATCAAGCTAATGGGGGAACTACAATTTGCGGGGTCGGCCTTGTTTGTGTTTTGCATCAACCATTGGGGAACTACAATTTGCAGAGTCTTTTATTGTTTGTGTTTTTCATCAAGCTAATGGGGAACTAGCATTCGCAGGGTCTGGTTTTACTTGTGTATTGCATGAAGGTATTGGAGGGGTGAGGGATCAAAAAAATATTAAATAAGGATCAAAAAAATTAAATGGAAAGATCAAAAAAATAAAATAAGGATCAAAAAAAAATAAATCACTCAAAATACAGCAATTCCTGGGGCAGAGGCATCAAAAAAAATAAAATTAGGATCAAAAAATAAATCACTTCAAATACAGCAATTCCTAAATTTTTCCAAGGGAAAACACTGTTTTCCTAGGGATTTTCTTTTGTTTCCTTAGGATCTGTTTGGTTTTTCCTCTGGAAAACACGATATTCCTGCGGATTCCGTGGTATTTCCCTAAGTTTTCCTTGATTTTTCGTAGGAAACAGCCTATTTTGCTATTACCTATGGCGTTCGTGTCATTTCTTCAGGTTTTCAGAAGGACAACATATGGTTGTTCCTCGGGAAAATCAAATTTTCCTTGCAATTTCACATTTAGGACGGATTTCCTGTTGTAGCTGTTGCTGGTATTCCGCTTCATCATCTATCTTAAACACGCCCCTCATTTGGCGATTCTGGCTCAGCATGTATCTACAAGGGCGGAGACGCCCTCATTTGCTGGGTTTCAAAAAAAGGCATATGCTTCAAAGCAACCCTGCACGGCTTAAAACAGCGGGGGGGTTGGGGGGGGCGCAGCCCCCCCCATTTGCAGAGACAACGTTCACATGATGGGCTTCGAAAACACTCTTTGAATCAAGCTTGCACGTCTCGAAAAGCGCGGCGGCGGGTGTTTTGTTCTTCCGTGCCTGTTCGTGTCTCTTCTTCCGTTAGCATTCTAACCGTATATATATATATAACATAGTAAACCAGAAGAACGACATAAGATGGTTCGACAACACAAAAATGGTGTGACATTTTCTGACATAACAGAACCTTGCTTCTTATAGCATATAATAGCATACTAAAAATACAACAATACAATATAACAGAAGATGACATAGAACAAAACAACATCTTAGTTTATAGTGTAGTACATTGTAACATAGTACAATACAGTGTGTATATTTACAACATAATATGTAGTATATTTTATAACATTAGGTTACATTATGTATTATTATATTACGGCACATTACGATATTATGGTAAATTCGATTGGACTATGTAGTATCCTGTTGCTTGTATCTTTGTTTCTGTGATTCTTTCATATTCTTTCTCTTTCGTCTTGTCCAACTTTGCTTTTTTATTCTGGACATCTTTCTTTCTTTCGCTCGTTCATTTCTTTTATTTCTTTCTGTTGTTCTTTCTTTGTTCATCTCGTACTCCCTTCCTTTCTTTCTTGCTTTCTTTCTGGTTTGATTTATTTCGTTCTTTCTTTGGTTCGTTCTTTCTTTCGTTCTTTCTTTCGTTTTTGGTTTCGTTCTTTCGTTCTCTCTCTCTCGTTCTATCGTTCTTTCTTTCTGTTTTCCTTTCTTTCGTCCTCTTTAGATACAGCAGTTTCGTCCTCTTTAGATACAGCAGTTTTTGAATTTTTCCCAGTGGAAACACTGTTTTCATACGGATTCGTTTTCATTTCCTGGGGATTTGCTTGGTTTTTGCTCGGGAAAACACGATTTTCCTACGGATTCCGTGGTATTTCTTTAAGTTTCTTTCTTTAGTTCTTGCTTTCGTTCTTCCTCTTGTTTTTGCTTTTGTTCTTTCGTTCTCTCTTTCGTTCTTTGATTCTTTCTTTCTGTCTTTCTTTCTTGCCTTTTAGATACCGCAACCAGCGGACCAGGGACCAGGGGACCGGAGGACCAAAGGACCAGGGGACCAGGACCAGAGGACCAAAGGACCAGGGGACCAAGGGACCAAGGGACCATGGGGCCAGACCTAGCAAGGCCCCCCAGAGTAGGCCAGACCTAGGAAAAAAAAAAACCATGGACCCTTTCAGACCTTCACCCCAACAAAAAAGACCAGCGACGATCACTTCTATGTGATTTGGAGTTCCATTTTGGTCTCCTGTCTGTCCCTTCAAAATTCGAATATGGTTTTGCTGCACATCATAGCGATTATGAAAATGACTGCAAGGCGAAGTTGATAGTAATTGCGCAGACCCCCTCACGAGGTTTCTGGAAGTCTGCGATTGAGATCAGACTTGACTGGATACGAGCGGCGGCGGCAGTTTCCACATGCTTCCGGACTTCCCAAAAGCCGAAACACTAAGGTCTCGTAGACAGGATCAACGTCAGAAAAGCTCTCTCTCTCTCTCTCTCTCTCTCTTCTTCCGCAGGGCATAGGGGCCTGTTAAGGCCCCCCGGCCACATGGGCCCCCCATGTCTCTCTCTTCTTCACTCGAAACACAAAGCCCTAAAATCCTAAAACTTAAACTCTACCTAAATCTGAAACAAGATAAGCCTGAACTCTAAAACCCTGCAACCCGAAACCCTAGAGTTTTGGGGCATGGTCTAGTCGAAACATACCACGCAACCCTAGGGAAAAATCTTTGCAAAAAGTACAAATGTCTACATAGGAGCCTAGAGGCTTAGGGTTCAACCCCGAGCCTCGAACCCTGCACCCTAAAACCCCAAACCCTGGACCCTAACTAAAGCAAGTCTCCTCAACACAGCTTACAAGGGACTTCTGGGACTTCTGGGTATGATTCGGGGTCGCTTCATGAGAGTCGACCCTCCGTGCAGAAGTTCGCGAAAACATACATGGGTGGTTGTCAGAATTGGGGCCCCTTTTCGGTACCCTAAATAATAGGTGCCATATCATAATAGGGAGCCAAAGAGGGACCATAATTTCGACAACCACCCACACATGCATCAGGCTTGAGGATGGTGGGGCTGGGAAAACCCCCATGTTCAGGATTTCAGGGCTTCAGGGTACATCCAAGATAAGAAGCACAATTAGGATACCCAGTAACCTAAGAATAAAAAGGCCTCTCTTTTTGGTATTGGGTAACTTTATAAGGAACCTAGGACTACAAAAAGGGAATAACAGTACTACTGGGCATCCTAGACAATTAGGGTTGAGGCTTGGGGCATTTAAGGCATTTAGGGATTAGGGTGTTGGGTATTTAGGCCAGCTACACAGCGCTGGCAACTTCGCCCTACCCAAACAAACCTACCACCCCTCGAAGACCCCGAAGCCCCAAAGGTAATAAGGCCAGGACTTGGACATCGACGATCTCGGCAATGCTATCCTGGAGGTCTGGCATACAACAATGTAGGGGCCTTAATAATTAGAATAGGTTTTTCTGGGGGGGGTTCCTTATTATAACCCTAGTATACTATACCCCAAACCCTCTTCTGAATATTAAGGCCCCTGCAGAAGCCCGTTGGGTTTCAGCTTGGAGGTTTGGGTTTCGGCTCAGGCTAGACAGTTTTTCGGACGCAGTACTCTTGCATGTCCACACTGCAACTGCTCAAGGATTCCAAAGCTCAAGCAGCCCTCGATCTGAAATCGCAAGCACAGATAGACCTGGTAAGCCCTGAGAAATCTTTGTAAACACCCCGTACCTGCCAATACAGCTTGCAAAATCCCTGAATGCGAAGCCCACCTCCCTCGACACCCAACGCAAAACCCTAAACTCGTAAAACAGCCTAAAGCCCCCAAACCCAGAACCGCGATAGATCCCTTCTGCAGAAACCCAAAAGAATTCTAGTTCATGGTTGCGATCGGATTAAAAATGTACATTTCTATTCCTTACTGGGTTTAAGTACCCATAAAAATGTAAAATGTTACCCAACTATGACAAAGAATTGGTCCTCCATGCGCAGCTCCATCTCAGAGCCATTCCAGCGATTCAGGGCGGCGGCTGGCGAAAGCCGCGCGCTTCCTCCGAGGCCTCGGTCAGAAGTTGCCGGAGACTCCAATATTCCTGAATTAAGGAATATTCCTCAAATCATAAGAGGTTAGAATCCCCTAAACCCTAGAACCTATACACTCTAGGTATTCCTTATTGAAGGGATATTAGAGTCTTTGAGCTGCAGGTTCTTGAAAGCGGCTTTGGAGGCTCACGGGCTTGGGGGGCTCACGGGCTTAGGTAAGGGGCTTAGGGGCGCAGCGGCTTAGGGGCGGATTTCAGGTTTTCGGGTTGCGCTTCCGAGGTTTTGTCGCCAATTTTCCACTCGCCCTTCTCGTAGAAAGGCCCCCTGAGACATTCCGGACATTGCGGGTCCGCTCTCAGCTGTGGGATTTGGCTTCTATTGTAGGGATCTTTGTAATTCGAGCTATTGGGGGGGCTGCCTTCTCAGACCATCAGGCTCTTGGCTCCTGGCTGACGTTCACACGCAGGCCATCACACCTGAAACACCGCAGATGAAGGCACAGCTCACGACACCATCTGCTTTCAACCTTCTAAGAACACTAGGTAAGTGATAAGAACAAAATCCAAACTAAAAGTATCATCATGCTTGCACTGAGAATGATAACCAACATCACCCTCATGATCATAACAACGAGTCAAGGTTTCAACACCCTGTGTAGGGGCCTTCTCAATAAGAAGAAGGTGCTGAGGCATGTTACCGGATAGTTCTGCAGGGACCATGCCTGAAATGCTGCCATTTAATCAGATCCCTATCGTACACCTTATTCACTTACATACAACCCTGCAAAACCCTCAACCCCTGAGAAGCACGCACCCCAAACTCCAAAACGCAACGCCTTCAACCTCGTAACAGCGCAGAATTCCCGAAAGCATGACGATCTAGGGCTCTAGGGACTTCGGGTTTCGGGATGAGGGGTGCTCCGGGACCCCTGGAGGCCCTGGAATCCTAAACCCCTTAACCCTAACCACTAAACCCTGAACCCTAAAACCCTAAACCCTAACCCCTAAACTCTAAACTAGGTGGGGCTTTTAAAGCCTTTCAAAAATATTAGTAAATAAGATCCTCTTAAGCCCAATAAGGGAAAATATAAAATGTCCCAAAGCCCTACCTAGCAAACCAATTCCGGCCCCACCCCTTTCGAGGGTACGAAGCGCCCAGCCGAGGCCAAGGCTTCGCGGGGCGGCCCTGGCCCGTTGGCTTTAGGATTGAAGGTTAGGGTTTAGGGTTTAGGGTTTAGGGTTTAGGGTCTAGGGTTTAGGATTTAGGGTTTAGGATTTAGGGTTTAGGGTTTAGGGTTTAGGGTTTAGGGTTTAGGGTTAGGGTTTAGGGTTTACGATTTGAGATTCCGGGTGTAAAGCTTTGGTAAAGGATTTACGAATTGAAATTTCAAGCTTAGGATTTAAGATTCCGGGCGTAAAACTTCAGGATTTAAGATTTCGAATTTTAAGCTTTGGGCTTTAGGATTTCTGATGGTGGGTTTAAAGCTTTAGGACTTTAGGACTTAAGTTTTCAAAAACAAACTTTGGGAGTTGAGATTTCGGGTTGAAAGATTAGGATTTGGAGGCGTCGATGCTTCGGAAAGCGAGGGCTCCACCCAAACCAAAATCCCTTCACCAGAGAAAACTCCCATGTGTGTGTGAACACACAGAAACGGCGAAGCCTTCGACTCCAAAGCCCGCCTGTGCATCGAGAGCCGCAAGACGCGTTCGGAAAGCGCTTCCGACTGGCACGCCTCCGAATGAAGTTTAGGGGAAAAGGGTTTCGGGTGTAGCTTTAGGGTCCCCGAATGGCAACTCCTTCTTTCCACCCGCAGGGGTGCCCAATATAATCTTCCGTTTGGGCATGCAGTTTGGGAACTGGGATTTAGCGGCTTTGCGGGCAGAAATCGAGATCTTCCTGCGAGGGCTGGTGCAGGCTTTAAGATGTATCATATAAGATTTTGGATTTCGAGTTTAGGTCTCAGGGTTAAAGGTTCCCAAATCCCAACCCCACCCCCACGCAAAACAAAACAAAAACAAACACACACACACACACACCCGAGTCACGTTTCAGCAACTGACACTCAGCTGTACCTGTTGTTGGATGTGAGATTCTTGTGGTGTTTGGGTTTAGTGATATCTCGACATGACACAGGAGCACATCAAAACTGGGAGGTTGTGGTAACCTGTGGTATGATTTCACATGAAACTTTCCAGCAGACACCTTCCTGCATCTCACAAACAAAAAACATACATGATCGATTTCAAGCCGTGCCTGCACCTTAACCCGCAAACCCTACACTCTTAAGCCCTCCCCTAGACCCCAAAACACCTAAACCTTAAAATTTTGAATCCCTACTACTTCGATCCGCTAGGCCAGGAAATATCGAGCTTCCTACAGCACAAAAGAAGAAGGAAGCCTTCCTTAAGCCTGAAACCCTCGAACGCCCCTCTTGAGCTTGCTTATCCAATATCGTCTGGGATTGTATAGGGGTTATAGTATGCCAAGCACGATAAAAGTTACCTACTCTTAGGGTTTGCTTGGGGTTTAGGGTTTAGGGTTTAGGGCTTAGGGTTTAGGGTTGAGCGAATCGAGGAGCGACGCGGTAGAAGAATGACATTCATGACTGCCACGATTTGGGGTGCTGGGGAATCCTTAACTGTGAACCCATCTAACCCCCGGAAGATTAAGGCCCAATACAGGGGCCTTAACAGTTAGAATAGGGTCTTTAATGGGTTCCTTTAAAGGGTTCCGTTTAGGGATACTATAAGGGTCCTATAGGGGTGTAGTATAAGGGCCTTAATAAATAGAATAAGGTCCCTTTCAAGGGGCCTATAAGGGTTACTGTAAGGGATCCATAAGAGCACTATACTAGAGGGGCCTCAATAAGTAGACTAGGGTTTTGGGGACCGCTATGCTGTGCTTATAGTAAGGAACCCCAATATAGGAGGTAATTATTAAGGCCCCTCCAGTACCGTTACTTTTAAAGGCCTGGGCTGGGTGTGTAGGGGTCTTGTGGATTTGGAATGCAAGTGTCATGGTTCAGAACCGAGGGTAGCACCTGTAGCTGCATCGTCCAGGAAATACCATCGAAACTCCACCTTGAACAATTCCCGAGCGGGAATCTACTGCGGATCTTGGGCGAGGAGCTATGGCATAGTCCACAAACGCATTGTAATGTGACTGTACAAAACACCTGCCTTCCTATAAAGCTCCACGTACGTCATAGCTCCAAAAATCTTGAGCTTTTACAGGTTCAGGTACCCTCAACCCCCCGAACCCTATACCCAAAACTGAAAAAGCTTCGGTGTACCCTCACAGTTGCTAGTGCAGCTGTTGACTGACGGACCAGAAAAAATCGTACAAAACCGTGCCGAACCGGTACAAAGGATGTCCCTCAAACCGCATGCCTCCCGAGTCCTATGACAATGACGTTTGTTGTAGACTTGAAGGGGCTCTGGATCTTATCTCGCAAACCTAAACTTAAACTCCAAACCCAAAAACCCCGAAAACTTGAACCCAAAACCCCGAACCCCAAATTCTGAAACTCAAACCTGACAGCCGAAAACCATAAAATCCTAGACCCCCATCCCCCCCCATTTCACATTCCGTCGGGGTGCAACAGCTGCCCCAGAGCCACGCCTGGGCGTTTAGGAAAGTTCAGGGTTTAGGTTTTAGGGTGTAGGGTTACACTTCAGGCTTTGTGGTCTATGCCGTGACATAAACTCGCCAAACTCATTCAACTGAATATCTTTGCCAAGTAACAACACTTGGACTTAACGAGGATTCGTAGCTCTTGATCTAAGGACCCTTAAAAACAGGACCCATAATTTCTTCAGGCAGCCCGAAGAATGGCTGCACTCACCAACTCGGGATGCACCACGTATGCTGTCTGTGGGTGTACGAGCCTCAATCTACAAATCGAACGATTTGATTGAACTCCACTTGAGCCTCAAAACAGAAACGCAACGGAGCCGCACAACTGCAAACTGAGGGTATTCAGCCCAAACGAAACAGCCTGTTCGGGCCACCAGCACTATGCCCCGATTCCGCTAAGGTCGTGGCATTGACTGGCGGTTCGTAAAGTAGCTGTCATGCACCTATCGGTGCCATGGAGGATGAAGCAAGGAAGGTTGAGATGAGCGGGGCCCAGGCTCAGTTTAGGGCATCGGGGTTCCGGGTTTAGGGTTTAGGGTTTGGGTCTGGAGCGTTTGGTGGATTTTCGAGGGTAGGTATATTGAAAGTAAGGCGTCAGCTGACCCAAAGACCCTGGATGCACTGCGCACTAATGTATCAGTGCATCAGCAGGACTAGCACCAAGAATTCCACTCGGACCATACTACCCTTCTGACTTCTGTAGCACAACTAGTAATAGCATCCCCTTCCTATAGTCCCGTTATGCACTATTGTAGTAAGGAACCCTTCTGGACTCTGGCTCTAAACGCTAGTCCCTAAACCCTGAACCCTAAACCCTAATCCACAAACCCTGAATCCTAAACCCTAGTCCCTAAACCCTGAACCCTAAACCCTAATCCCCAAACCCTGAACCCTAAACCCTAATCCCCAAGCCCTGAACCCGAAACCCTAGTCCCTAAACCCTGAACCCTAAACCCCAAACCCTGACCCTTAAGAACAAGCGGCTGCCTGCTCCGATGTCAGCTGTATCTGACGGATGCTTCTTGCACCCGGGGCAGGCGCATCACCTCATTCTGGGCTTTGAAGTTTAGGGGTTTAGGGGTTAGTAAGGGTTTTGAAGTTTAGGAATTTAGGGTTTCTGGGCTTTGAAGTAACCAGGGAGAAAAAAGTATAGACATTTCTTTCACAATGGTCCCTTCAAGTAACCGGTCCAAAAAAACAAGTATTAAAGTATAGTACAACAAAGCCCAGCATTGCGAGCATCCACCATGTGGGCCTCAATAGTTTAGGGGCCTTAGCAATTAGAATAATGTTTTGGGGTAAATTTATGCTGTAACTACAATAAGTAACCCCCCAAACCCTATTCTGATTACTAAGGCCCCCATGTAAAATTCACTAGCATAGGGATCTGTAGCTTATTCTATTCTGCTCATAAAACGAGGCTACGGAAGCCGAGACCCCCTCATGAACGCCACGCTTCCAAACTGAGAGCAATGGGCCTTAGACCTCCTAAAGGTGAATCCCCTGCTGTCGACACTGTTGATGATAAACATCCTGCATTGCCTTAAGGATCCTAAACTATGGGAATTATGGTATGTTCCTTATCATGGGTAATGCAGGATTTATATCATCAGCCGCAGTACCCTGAGCCGAGGCTCTCATGTACTCTACACGGTTTAGGGCTGAGGGTTTCGGGTTTCTACTATCTCTCAATCGGCGACATGATGTGGCTTTACACCAGGTTCAGAGGCAAAAGCAAATATTACAATTATGATTCCTTCGGCCAATGTATTTTACGGCGTCAAGGGCATGGGGCACTCCCTGAGAAGCCAAAACCACAGGCCCAAGATGTACCAATGGCATTCAATACACAAATTGGAACTCAAGGGCTTGGGGCGAAGTTTAGGACTTAAGTTTGGGGTTTTGGGTTTAGGATTTACGATTTCGGAACGGGTCTAGGGTTCAAGGTTTAGGGTTCGATTGCAGATGCTGACGGCAGACATGCTCGCTCACTTGAGCTGTACGGCTTCCTTCCTGAATTCCAAAGCCGACATGCAGTAATGTGTGTTTGGGGGAACTTACGCCGAAGAACCAATCCACACTAAAAGAGAAATACCCCAAACTCTAAACCCCGATTTACGAAAAGCACATAGCTAAAGATATATCCATGTTGATATCCACTTCAAAAACACTATCAAAGACTTGCCTTTGGTTAGTAGGGAATGGAAGAACGGTAGTAATAGTAGTTATAGTTGTACCCCATTCCTCCATTCCCTACTGACCAAAGGTAAGAAGACCGGCTTCTCTGGAACAAAGACTCAATCTAGTTTGATTGACTTATCCGGCGGGCCTCACCTGATCCTGTTCTTAGAGCTATGCTGCAGGGTTTGCGGTTGATCCTGTTCTTGGAGCCGCACCCAAGCGCCGGAAGAAGAGCAGCAGAAACGCTGCTGCGCCTCAGCCGAAGCTCATTGAAGTTGAACTTCCTAGACTAGGATGCCCAGTAACTTGGGAATAGAAAGGCTTTTTTTGGTATTGGGTAACTGCATTAGGAACCTAGGACTACAAAAACGGAATAAAGGTACTACTACTGGGCATCCTAGTAGAGTGTAATTGCCGACTAGGCCGTCATACAAAGAACAATTATGAACAATATACACCTAATAACCTCTGAACCTTTGTACATCCTAATCAGCCCCAAACCCTGAACCTCAAAGCGGTCGGGTAACTCGAAAGCACAGGATTTAATATTCAGAGCCGAGCTGGAACTTTCGAGCTAAGGGCTTTTTGAGGGTCTATACTGTTTAGGCTCTAGAGCTTGCGAGAGGCTTGAATGTTCCTTTAAGGTTTAGAATTTACCTACTTGTCGGGTATCATGGGGAACTAAAGGTTAACCTTTCTGGTACATAGGGTTTATATAATATAGGGACTATACTACCCCAAAAAGATTAAAGGTTACCTACTCTACTACTAGGTTACTAGGTTTAGGGTGTTCTGAAACTCGGAACCACCACCGTAAACCCTAAACCCTAAACCCTAAACTCTAAACCCTAAACCCTAAACCCTCAAGTCCCCATAAATTGAGCTTGCGTATTGCACCGTGCGTGGTATTCCATATCCTTGGATATGCATAGCCGCTTGCACAAGTTGTTGCAATCGAGTTTAAGTAAATTGAATTAAATATTCCGCCACCACCACCACCAAAATGCAATCGAGTTTAAGTAAATTGAACCAAATCTACAAATACCAATACTAATACGAGATTTAGGGTATAGAATATTGAACTCCGCGCCCCGACCGCTCCGCCCCCCCCCCGCCCCCCCCCACCACCCCCCGGCCTGCCCCACCCCCCCGGGCCCCCCCGCCCCCCCCACCCACTCCCCCCCACCCCGTCCAAAAACACCAACAAACTACAAACAAAACGTTTATGGTTTAGGCCCGAATCTGCACCAGTTCGGTCTGTATTCTAGGCCCAGAATAGGGGGTACCTCGAGATCGGCCCTCCGGCCTAATAATAAAAACGCTATTCTATGAACAGAATTTGTCACCCAAGACGCCCACCCCAAAATCCAGGAAATTTGGCTTTAATTATTTTATGGTTTAGGCCCGAATCTGCACCAGTTCCGTTTGTATTTTAGGCCCAGAATGAGGGGGACCTCCAGATCGGCCCTCCGGCCGAATAAACACGCTATTCTATGAACAGAATTTGTCACCCAAAACGCCCACCCCAAAATCCAGGAAATTTGGCTTTAAGTTTAGCAAACCCCCATTCAAGGTTCATTAATAGGGTTTTTCCAAACCCTATGGAGGTTTATTAAACCCTAATTTAGGGTTTAGCAAACCCTAGGGTTTAGCAAACACCCATTCAGGGTTTATTAACTAATTTAAGGTTTAGCAAACCCTAGGGTTTAGCAAACCCCCATTCAGGGTTTATTAATTCTTAATTTAAGGTTTAGCAAACCCTAGGGTTTATTTAGGGTTTAGCAACCCTAGAGTTTAGCAAACCCCCATTCAGGGTTTATTTAACCCTAATTCAGGGTTTAACAAACCCTAGGGTTTCGCAAACCCCCATTCAGGGTTTATTAAACCCTAATTTAGCGTTTAGCAAACCCCCATGCAAGGTTTATTAAACCCTAATTCAGGGTTTAGCAAACTCTAGGGTTTAGCAAACCCCCATGCAGGGTTTATTTAACTCTAATTTAGGGTTTAGCAAACCCTAGGGTTTAGCAAGCCCCCACTCAGGGTTAATTAACCTAGGGTTTAGTAAACAGGGTTTATTAAACTTTAATTTAGGGTTTAGCAAACCCCCATTCAGGGTTTATTAAACCCTAATTTAGGGTTTGGCAAACCCCCATGCAAGGTTTATTAAACCCTAATTCAGGGTTTAGCAAACCCTAGGGTTTAGCAACCCCCCATGCAGGGTTTATTTAACTCTAATTTAGGGTTTAGCAAACCCTAGGGTTTAGCAAGCCCCCATTCAGAGTTAATTATTTAGTAAGCAGGGTTTATTAAACTCTAATTTAAAGTTTAGCAAACCCCCAATTAAGGTTTATTAAACCCTAATTCAGGGTTTAGCAAACCCTAGGGTTTAGCAAACCCCCGGGACCAAAACCTACAATTGACGACCCGCAGCCGGAAATTAAGGACCCGGAACTTAAAATTAAGGACCGCGCCAAGACCGGACCTAAAATTAAGGACCCGGAGCCTAAAATTAAGGGCCCGAAGCTGAAAATTAAGGGCCAGGACCGAAAATTTAGGGTTTAGCAAACCCCCAATTAAGGTTTATTAAATTCAGGGTTTAGCAAACCCGAAACCCAAACAAAACTCGGAAAATTCAAAAAAACTTCCGAAAACCCAAAAAAAACCCAAAAAAAAAAACCCAGTTTAATATTCTCAAAAACGCACCCCGCACACGAAGCAAGCTCAATAAACCCAAACCCAAAACCCAAAACCCTAAACCCTAAACCCTAAACCGAAACCTATTCTACATCGGAGGAGTCGTCTCGTCGCGCACGGCCGAAGCTGTCGGAAATCCAAGGGGTTCGGATCGGCTCAAGCCGGGCACCACTTTGAGGTTTAGGGTTTAGGGTATGGGGTTTAGCGTTTAGGGTTTAGGTTAGGGTTTGAGGGTTTAGGGTTGAGGGTTTAGGGTTTAGGGGCTTGAGGTTTCGGCGCTTCTTTCTTTGATTCGCATGGCTTCTGGAGACGTATGCCGGGGATCTCGGGTTGAACTGCACAGTTTAAAGAAGACAGTGCCTTTGGAACATATCATAGACACTACAAACTGAACACGACCTTCACCCCCCGCACCCACAAAAAAATATGAAACACTGACGGTAAAGAGGAATGCCAACTTGCAATGCATGCTTGACTTCGGCTTCAGTTGGTTAAACCTGTTTGTGCGTTTGATGACTGCGGGGCGTAATTGCCTTCGACCAGAAACCCTGAACCCTGGCCCTAACTCGAGCGAAATAGATTCCACCCAGCTCTGCTTGCACTGCAGCCTTATGGGAATATAGCCTCAGCGGGGCACATTTCGACTGGATGGTTCATGAGTAGGTATTGCTGCTTTAGATGCGCAAGCATCATGACTTGGACGACTCTCGGAAGGAATAGACGAAACAACGAGCCCTTAGAGCATAAAACCCTAAACCCCTAAACCCCTGAACTCCTAAACCCTAAACCTAAACCCCTAAACCAATCTGGTATCACGCTGGTGTTGAGGCTTCACCCGAAGGAAAGGCTCCGGCTGCAGATTGCCAAACGCGTCAGAGGCGGGAGGCTGTGCAACCTGGGGTTCGCAAGAAAGACTTCATCAATTCGGCTATGCAGAAAAACAAGATACTTCTACGAATCAGGTCGGCCCAATACTAAACATCTTAGCTTAAGCCAAGGACTTTGATATTGGCGTACAGGACCGGAGACGATCCAAGAAAGTTGCTGCTGCAATGAACCTTGGATCTTGAACCTGCTGAAGATTTAAAAAAACTGGTTGAAGCCCACTTATTGAAAAATGTGCCTGTCTCGAACATCGTGCTTGTCTGCATCCCGGGTGGCCCTGGGACGGAACCAGCAAATTTTATCGGACAATCTTGGTTGCTAGTTTCAGGGTGGGGGCAATATACATCGCAATGGGTACATCCCGCCGTCCCCAAAATCTTCATCCGGTCCTATCCTCACAATTTAGTATACGACAGATTAAGATGTCCACGTTACGCGAAACGGTGTGAAACCTCATAAAGTATAGCCCCCTCGTTTTGCAGTACGACCTGTCGTAGCCTAGTAACACTGGTCGACACCCCTCATACTGCTTATACATTGCCACTGAAATAGATGGACAGATAGTAACCCGGCATAATCCAATCCATATCTTCTTCCAACGGCTAGCCTGCGTCCCTTCCTTTCAACTGCAGCCTGAATTGTGGCATCCCGCTTTGCCTTTACAATGCTTCTATGTGGGAGTTTCCGAATATAGGGGACCCTAATGTAGTACCCTAAATGATAGGATCCTTATGATAAGGACCCAAAAATTAGGTACCCCTACTTTTCGGAAACGCCCATGTGGACCATTAACATGGTCATCTTCATGGTTTTCTTCACACCTTCCGCAAGCAGCAAACATCCTCCTAGTTGCTGGGTTCATAAGCCCCCAAAAGTGTACTTTCAGTTTTGTAGTGGGTAATGTTATCTCAAAAAGTGAAGTGCATCCACTCAGCTACTAAGTCGTTAAATGCCCTGGAATATGTGTTGAGGCATCAACTTCATGCTACAGCTTTGCTTGGCTCTTCTGCTCTGTGGTGGCAAGTACTACAGTCTACACCTTGCTTATACAACTTACACACAGTTATTGACACAGTTGTCAAACTTGCTAAGTGGATTTCGGGATAACTGCATAACGTGAAGCTTTAAGAAACATCAACATACTTGTCCGAGGCACCCCATACGCCCCGTCACACCGCTCATGAAATCCGATTTCAAGCGACACCAGATGCTGTACGACAGAAATTGTAATTGGCAAACAAGCGGCTGCGCACCCATTGTTTGAGCACGTGCACGGCTTAAACATAAGAGGGTGGATTGAATGTAGAGGGCTTGTTTGTCATGCTCATATTTACCTAAGGGTTCATGCAGTGCGGCGGATCAGGTGGCACCAGGATCTAGAGCCTTTGGGTGGTAAAGCCTGGTAAAGTAGCTGGCAATCGCATGTATCAGCTGGATTTTGGATTCGAGGCCACTGATCTTGTGAGAAAGTTCTGTGCTCAGGTCTAAAATGGTTCAAGAATCGAGATGATATGGGTTCAGGGTTTTGGGCTCAGGGTTTAGAGGTTTCTATCTAAAGGTAGTGTTCAGTCTCGGACAACTGAGCCATCAACAGTGCGGCCGCATGCACTACGAATGCAAAGTTAAGCGCAGCTCAAGCCTGTTTAAGGGTTAGGGTTTAGGTTTAAGGTTTAAGGTTTAGAGTCTAGGGTTTTAGGGTTAGGGCACAGGGTTTAGGGATCAAGGTTGATAAGGTTCAGGCTTGCGGGCTTCTGGAAGTTAAGGTTCAGGGGTTTCGGTGTGAGGACCACAGGCCCAACTGTTCCGGTTTGAGGATCATAAAAAAGTAATGTAGGGGCCTTAAAAAGTAGAATAGGGTTTTGGTGCCCATTATGCTATAATTATGATCAGGAATCCACAACATAGTATATTTAATTATTAAGGCCCCTATATTGCTTGTACGATTGAAGCCCCGGGTCAGCCCGACCTCAACCACAATTTTCGAAGACCCACACTAGCAGCTCAGAGCCCTGCCCCTTTACGATACGGGGTCGAAGCATGAATATGTTGCTTCTCTGTCGGCTGACGCTTTTTCGAGTGCCACCAGCACATGCTTCAGTTTCATTGGCTTCATACAAAGACGAAAAGACGGAACGACGCGCCACTATCGCAGCGCAGCACTGTCTTAGTGCTGGTTCATCACCTGTTCGGAGAGCATGTGCCCAGAGACTTCAATATCCCTTAATTAAAGAATATACCTTAAATTATAGTAGGATCCTTGATATGATTTAAGGAATATTCCTTAATTAAGGGATATTGGAGTCTCTCGGTGCAACACAATGAATTCGGCGCAGCGTGCCCGGAAGCAGGGAAGATCCCATTTGCGGAATCAACCAGGAGACCCGCACCCAAGCCTTAACTCAAGCAAAAACAGAACAGGCTTCTTTCGCTGCTTGGGGCTCCGGGAACGGCAGAATGCAGCGACTAAACCCCTCCTCCGTCGCTCCTACTGTCGCAGCCGATGTGGTAGTGGCCTTGGCAGACGTGGCCGTGGCAGACGTGGCCGTGGCAGACGTGGCCGTGGCCGTGGCAGACGTGGCCATGGCCGTGGCAGACGTGGCCGTGGCCGTGGCCGTGGCAGTGCTGGTAGTAGTAGTAGTAGTAGTCGTCGTCGTCGTCGTCGTCCGTCGTCGAGGGAAGGAACAGTAAGCGGCAGTAGTAGTGATGATATCCAGAATTCATTATGACGGCAATAAGAACAACAACGAACTGAAGACTACAAACGTGTTGCAAAAAATACAAAAAGAGAAACATTATTTAACCATGGAACTCCTTCAGTGCAGAGCTTCAAAGAATATGATTAGCATTGTTGATATTGTTGTTATTATTGTTATTCTTAGTATTCTTAATGTTCTTAATATTCTCAGTACTCTTAATTTTCTTAATCGTCTGAATAATTTTAAGAAATTTCAACAATATTAAATGTATGAATATTCACAATAACAGTATTATCGTTATGATTGTTATTATTACAACGAACGCCTGGGTCTCCCGGCACTGCTTGCTTTCACTTTGCCAAATGGCTCAGTAGTTGGGACAGAGGCGTACCTGCGACCTGCGAGGGTTTAAGGTTTAGCGCTTGGGTAGCTGTCGAAATTATGGTCCCTGATTGGGTACCCTAAATATTAGGTGCCGTACTATAAAAGGGACCCCAAAAGGGACAATAATGTTGACAACCACCCGTTTGATGTTTATGGTTTAGGGTTCAGGGTTAAGGGTTTAGGGTTTAGCGACGACGACCAGAACGGCGGCGCAGACGTAACGTTAAACAAACTTAGTAACTATCAATTCGGACTCAAACTCTAGACCGGCATTCAAAAAAATCGGACTTCAGAGATTTGAGCATCTTGAAACATGGTTCAGATGTCACGTTTATGGCAGCAGGTTTAGCGTCAAGTGCTCAGGCATTCGGGCTTGGGACTGCGGGGCTTGGAGAAGAGGAATAGGCTTATGCATTCTAGGGCCCGAAACCCTAAACCCCTAAACCCCTAAACCCCTAAAACCTCTAAACCTCTAAACCCTAAGCGCCCAAACCCCCCAAACCCTAAACCCCTTAAACCCTAAGGCCTCAAGCCTGCTAGGGATCCATGACAGCAAACCTCTTCCTTCAGGTTTCAGGCACGGTCCAACCTTGTCACTGTCCGTCATATAGGGGCCTTAATAAGTAGAATAGGGTTTTGGGGGCTCATTATACTTTAACTATAATAAGGAAACCTAGGAGTAATATTAGTAATTGTTTAGGCCCCTATATTAACAAGTCCATGTTCATGAGAGCTGCTATTCTAATCACGGCCTGTGTGGAGTTCAGGGTTGGGCAACAGGTCATTTCTAAGCTCCGCAACAAGAAGGCCGTTAAAAAGCAAGCGGAGTGCTATTCTTGTACCACATCTGACCGGATGTGAAACATACTACCGGACCGCGCCGCAAAGCTTAAACTCTGCCAGCCCTAAACCTTGCCCCAACGCATCTTAATGCCCCGACCTCTACCGCAAGCCCTCAACCCCACGTGCCCTCGCGGCTGACCCTATATAAATCCTAGACGGGAGAACTCGCAGACAGGCTTGGAATAAGATTTAGGGTTTAGGGGACGAGTGTCGCACTGATTGCCACCCATGGAGACCACGGGAATCAAACTGTACGGCTGACCTCAGCATCTCGGGTGCGAGGGGGTTTAATAAGTTTAGGGTTTAGGGTTTTAGGGTTTAGGGTTTATTTAGGGTGTAAGCCTTCACTACAACAGGGTTTGCTGCTTGTTGCTCCGTTGGGTTTTTGGATATACGGTTGCAAATTACTCACCCTAGGTTCAGAAAAAGTAGCTAGAGGATGAATCGAAGCAGTGCTCAAAGGCTCACACAGAAAACATGACAATGGCGAGCATAATCATCACCGTAGCACCATTTACCATCTTATCTGCACAGCACCACTTATTACAGCCATGATGATGCCAACACAGAGTCTGATCCTCCCGCTGCTGCTGTTGTAAGCACTAGAAAAACAATACAAGCGCCCTAAACCCTAAACCATCCTAACCATCCGTAGAAAAGGAACCAACACCACGAGTCGCAATAAAACACGAGAGGTAATGCACAAAAGTGAAACTACTTAGACGCACGAGGCTCATCGTTCTTGCCTCATAGACCCCAAATCCAAATCCTCAACCCTGAACCCATGCAACTTGCAGAACCCTTAAACGCACCCTTGAGGGAACCCTGAAAGGAACCCTGAACACGCACTATAGAGCCTGACTACTTCCAAAAACCCTTTTGGGACTCCTACAATTATTATAGTAATTAATATACCCCAAAGCCCGTGTAACTATCAAGCCCCCAACCACTACCCAGAACCCTAAACGTTAACCCGCCCCCCTCCCAAAAAGAACATGAACTCAGGGCCCTGCTCAGGACCCTAAACCCTAAACCCCTAACCCCAACAGTATACTCAGAGCCCTGCTCAGCAGTATATCTGAGCCACCCCTATAGACAATCACTAAAGAACCCCTACTGAAAGAAGTAAGACCCCAGCTCAGTGGTATATCATTGTAGGAACCCTTACCGACCGCTTTCCAAAAGGGAACGAAATACCACAGGGGCCTTAATGATTAGAATAGGGTTCCTTTTAAGGGGTCTATAGGGGCTACTATAAGGGATCTATAAGGGTAATGTATCAAAGTGTCTTATGACTTCGAATACGGTTTTGGGGCCCATGATAACATACAAATAATAAGGAACCCCCAGAGCGTCTTGGTAATTATTCACACTATTCTCTGAACCCTAAACCTTCTTCCCTTAGCCCTGAACCCTATACCCTATACCCTAGGCCCTAAATCCTAAACCCTATAACCCCTACAGTACTTGCGTTCTTTTGAGGCCCCTGCTCAGTGGTATATCATCAAACAGCTGCTCGAAGGGCTCGTCGTTGATGGCCATCGAGAAGGTCCCATTCTTGGAATTCCTGATCTCTTGGGATTCCTTAAGGTTACGGATTATGGTTTCGGGTTTAAGGTTTAGGGAATCCCTGATCTCTTGGGATTCCTTCAGGTTAGGGTTTAGGGTTTAGGGTTAGAGTTTAGGGTGCTGGGTGCCTGCGAGGGCTCTACAAGGCTTCGCGTATTGGTACTCTTGGATTAGGTCTAAGAATTCGCGATTTAAGAGTTCGGGGAATCTTCCCCGAACAGGCATGACCACCCAATCCCCGAAAGCAACATATCCCAAAATCCAATCGAGTTCCTCAACATGATGTCAGGCATATAAGTTCCTAGTTTCTTAGCGATTTGAAAGTCGCGGGATGGACCTTAAACTGCGAACACGAAATCCCAAATCTTCAAACCCGAGGCACAGTGTAGCAACCTGAGCATTTATGCGGCTACCGATGTCATGCGATTGGGTACGGCACCCGTACAGTAACAGTCTATAGTAGGGGCTACTACTATGGTCCTTATATCTCTGTATTATGAATACTATCCAACTGATACAGAGTGGGGGCAGCACCCAAGTCATGCGATTGGATGATGTTGGAAGCTGTCTGCAGCTCCGAAAGTAGCTTCGGGGAGTTCGGTTTGAGGCCGGTAGTAAATTTGGGGATGTGGGTCTGCACGGGATACCTTATTTGAGGGTCCTTAAAATGAGGATTCTACGATTAAGGGTACTATGTTAGGGCCCCCTATTTCCCATGTTGAGGTCTTGAACACTCGGAGTTGCTTCGGTTCGGAGCCTTAGAAC